ACGCGGAATATCGAAATCCTACTTGGTTTGCGTGCCAGGAAAGGGCTCCCAGGAGTCCTCGTAACTGGGTCTTCTCTTGTTCAGAGGTGGCCTCCTTTCTTTGGCTACGTCTTTGAGGGGAAATCGGAATTTCGCGCATGTTCTGCATGTATCTTTCTTGGGACAAAGTGAAAGATCCGTCTTCCTGGCGCTCGATCTGCACTCCACACTGTGTGAAGTTGTTCAGCTCGAACTCCCCCCACTTAAATTTATCTTGAATGGGTCACCTATCATCATAAAATCATCAACATGACCGGAGATGATGGCATGGACACGGCCCTCAACCTGCAGGACCCAACAACACGGGTCAGTGGCACACTGATAGAACCCACTTTCCAACAGAAAGGCTCTCACCGTTTCATACCACTCATACGGAGCTTGTACCAAGCCGTAACAAGCTTTACGAAGTCGCGCCACACTTTCTTTTGGTATTCCCATCCCTTCGCACAACTCAGGAGTGGGAATACAGTACAGATCATAGCCGCATTCTCGGCCTTGTAAAAAGGCTGCTGACACGTCGCCCTTCCAGGCGTGCCAGTTCTTGCACGCAGCCATCTGAAGCATGAGCTGTCTCGTGTGACGAGTGGTGGTTGGCGCATATGTGATGCGGTGCTCGTAATTCGGGTCCTGATAGCCCAGGACGACTGCTCTCGCTTTTGGCGAAGTGGTCCCGGAATGGTCTGTTTTCCAGGACAGAATCCACCGCATCCGCATGGCCTCCTGCTTGGAGGGCTGCTTGTCAGGAGGAAGAGCTTCCAGTGCTTTGGAGACTAGGAACTTTTTCACTTCCCGCTGCAAAGCGCTCTTTGGTGCCGGGATCCATGTTCTTTTCATAGACCTCGACGCTCTTCTTCTTGAGGGCACTGGCCAGGTAGGTCTCCAGGTCTCGGGAGGCCAGTTTCCAGCCATGTCGCGTGGTTGGCATGGGGATTTCCAATGCCACAGCTGCGGTCTCCTGTGCCCAGAAACTGTGTTCTTGAGAAGAAGAAGCTCGTGGTGCCCGTGCCCGTGGCGGAGACCTTGTCCTCGCTCTGGGGGACTCCACGTCGTCGTGTCTAGCGGCGCCCTGCTCCATTTCCACTTCGGGTGCCTGGGGAACGTCTGGTCCTTGTTCAGGAAGAGGTTGAAGGTCAGGTGCACGCTTTTGTCGTACTCGTCGTTCAGGTGGTCGCCATCGCGGTGCCTCACCATGTTCGTCCTTGTCGGCCTCGCTCGGGACCTCGGCCGTGATGTCCTCGTACTCTTCCTTGGTGAGGGGACTCGTCAGCTCTGTCATGGTCCAGGGCAGAGAACTTGGCCTCTCGAAGTCATGAAGTAATTCTTCACGGGCTGAAGCGAAGCGAAGCTGCTCCACTGAGGCCTTCAGGAGTCTGTTATTGCGCACCAGCCAAACCACACTGCTGGCTCGGATCTTGTTGTCCTGATCCCGCCGTGTCTCCAGGGCCAAGATTCTGGCCGGCCCTGCGTAGCCAGCTGCGCGCCCAGTTTGGATTCTGGTACCCCCAACCTTCTTGCCATACAGCTGGGAGGGCCAGTAGAAGACTAAGTCCCCCGTGTGAACTCCGGAATGGGACGTTGCTTTGAGTTCTGCCCGGCTGTAGCGCTGCTGCGCCTGCCGCCGGGCAAAGGTAGCTTCTGCCTCTCCTCGGAGACGAGCTGCCTGCGCCACTTCTCCATCCGGATGGCCCATCAGGTGGGGAAGCCATTGATCTCGCTTTCGAAGAGGTGCCGGCGAGGTCGGGCGCCTGTCCCAAGGCGTGCTGCCTTGGGGAGTACCCGCGCACCACTTCGCGGTTATTCCATGCTTCAATGGCTCCGGCTAAGGCATCTTGAGGCGTGACACTAG